AAAATATTCATGTTAATTTGCTAATTTCATGTGAAGTATTTATCTCAATGGAGAATATTGCACTAGAGCTATATACAGCCTGCCTGTTGAGAAAGTCCTGGGGATGGGGCTGCTGCATGGATGAACAAGTGAAATTTCATCAGTTAGGAAAGAATACACGTATATAAAGTCCAAAAGACTATATCCATCTCATATTGGTGCCATTCCACAAATATCAAATTCTACTGCTCATCTCCCATAAATGAAGCATATAAAATCTTGAGGAGATTTTCAGACAAGACATCACTAAAAACACACATCAAAATAATGAGAAAGAATAACAAAAGGCTACAGTAAGTTAAATTGCTCTGACAATTTTTAAAAGCAATTCTGCTATAATAAGAGTAGTGAGAATATTACTTTAAAGTACCATGGAGCACCATGGTCTTTCCTTCGAAGTGCTTTGTACTCCTCAGATAATGACACTTTCCTCACTCATCTGGCTTCCAGTCTTTATTGTCCAAAATTAAAAGTATAAAAAAAAATTTAAATAAACTAGATAAAAAGCCAGACATAAAGCACGGATAAGCTCAGGCAACATCAAAAATGAAATTAAGAGGAAATTTATGTGTGTGGAGCAAATCCAGCTTTCAATATGACAATTAAAAGCTCTGACTCAAATGTTTTTGAAGAGGGTGATGCAAATATAAGTTTAATAGATTTAATCACTGCTGAGAAAGGGTGTGGAACATCCACTCCTTCCTCTTGACAGGTATCATTGGCCTCTCCAGTCCTGAGCTCTTGTGCAAATTTCAGCTCTTCAGCCTTTGACTCTCTCTTGACCAGAAGCCATCAGTTTTCCACCAACGCAAGCCAAAGCTGTGTAGGTTCCTAATGCTGTTTCCATACGTGATCAAGCAGAGAGTCATCACAGGGTGCACATTTTCAGTGGCTCTGAAAAATCCTGCAAGTTAACATTTAGCTGCCTCAAAATATTTTGCAACCAGGGACCCATACTCAATGAGATACAGAGAGTATCTTTTTAGTATTCCCTCCCTTCTCTCACTCTAAGCACAATTTAAACCTTGGGTAGCAGAAAAGAAGCTGTTCTATGGATTCAGGGCACATCATACAGAGCTTTCTTTCTCAACAGCAACACAGATACGTCACAACTTAATCCCATTTGTCACATTAGGTAAACAGGCAGTTGTTCATGTGGAGAAAATTCAGTAGCAGGACTATCTCAACTAAAGTTTCTTATATGTCTAATAATCTGCAAAGAGGGTGAGTAATGATGCAGTGGGTTTTCAGATTTCACAGAATTATTTAGGTTACCTGAGGTTACAAGAAAGCTTAGGGGCTTGGAAAGAGAATAAATTCTGCTGGCTGAACACACAGTGTAGCAGCCTACTGATGGATCCTACTGATGTCAAAAGACAAACTAACATTTCCTGTTGGATATAAATTTCACTGCACACACCCCAGGTACAAGGTGTTGTTGGAGAGAAAAAAAATCCCATCTCTGAATTTATGACAGAGATAGTGCAAGCAGTGTAGGAGTTTCCATTCACTCTCACCCTAGCAGAAGAAAATGTAGTGGTTACTATGCACAAACAGAAACATTGTGCATTTAAAACTATTAGGAATAAAAAATAATTTCTGAAAGTGATGCAACTGTCAGCTAGAACTTGGTGTAGTCAAGATGCATTTAAGGCCGTGACTTGATATGGTCTTTAAAATGCCTGATCATTTCTAGATACCTGAATGTCACATCAAAGTGCTGAACCACACTTCTTCCCTCCTCTGCAGGGAAACCAGCATCAAAGTCTGCCCAAGCCCTCAGCACATCTCTGTCACCACACAATAATGATGGTAATTATCAATAATAACAATAATGTGGGTGTAAATCTGCTCTGGCAGCTGGGGCTGATGAATACTGCATCCCACACCAGCCCCCCTGGAAGCTGCATCAGCCCCCAGCATCACAAAGGGAAGAGAGAGCCTGCACTGGGAGTCACAGAGGGTCTGCTGACTGCTCCTTGGCCACACTGACAACTTGTTGGCAGCTGTGAACCTTCTGCAAGAACCAAGAAAGCTTAATGTCCTCTGCAACCTCCACTCAGATCAGCTGATGAGATTCTCTTGCATTCCTTCACCAGCCCTCTCTTTCTTGCTCATAAACACATAACACGATGTAAACCCACTGCTGCTTTTCCCTAAAGTGCTCACAGGCGAGGACACAATCTCCACCTTTTGTCTGAAGCTCCATCATGTGTAAGATACCTGATGCCCTATCAGTATTTTTACAAATATACCAGTATTTTTAATTAATCAGGCATTTCTCCATTGAGATGAAACACTGTGTACATTTCTCGTTTACTCTTCCCAACACATGCTTATTAATTAGCATACTAATTTGCTTAGTTCTTTAGTAACTGCATGCCAGGGAAAATGTTCTCAGTTGTCAAATGCAACTCATCGATTACTGTAAGACACTTAAAGATTAATTGATAAATATATCCGAGCCCTGATTAATTGGTGAAAAATCCATCATGCTGCATCCTGCTGTCCCTTCCGTTATAATAAGGCTCTTGAATTAAATAACAACTTGATTTTTCCTTCTTTTAATTAACAAAACCACCGCAAACCAGAAGTCTTTGTGGAGGGTGTCTATTCAATTTTCTAGTTCTGCTTGAAGTGAAATCCACTTCGTTTATCTTATTAGCCCGAAAGTAAGGAAAGGAGCCTACTCTGAAATAAGTCTCTGTCAACTAGAATTCATCTTTGGGGCTGAGAGAGCTGATGTGGAAATTTGAAAGTAATTTCTTCACTCTTTATTTGTTATATGCGTTTTTTAAGGTTCCCTTCTGATTACATAAATTAAAAGTGACTTCTACAAATCTGGAAGAGATGAGCTGCATACACTTCCCAGTACAGTACATGGCTGACTTTGAAACAGCCCAGTATAAGATTATGTGGCCTGTATAGAATGAACAAGGTAAAATATACAGAGTAAAAATGACTGAACATTCACAATGATGCTTCCAAGCAGTAACACGCTCCCTGCTCAGTCCATGGTCATGCACCCCCGTTATTCTCCCAAGAATTCTGCTGATGTAAAAACATTTTCCCTCTCCTTACTTCCACAATTTGTAGCTTAAATACTAATAAATAATTATTTCACTAGCATCCTGCTCAGATCAATCCATAAGTTCTTCTGAGGTTTGTTTTTCCCCAAATGGAACTTTTCCTCCTCCTCCCCTCACAAAGCCTGAAGCTGATATGCCTGCTTTGGTCCAGTACCCAGCATTGCCCCAGCAGCCTCCTCAATTCTCAAACTATTTCCACAAATCTTCCATGCCTGTCCTGAAATGATAATTTTTGCCAAAAAATCTACATAGTACTGTTTGTCTGCGAAAGAAATGTTTGGACTATCAACAGCCAATACTGGTTCTCTGGCAAAAAAGGGGGATAATTACCATACCTCTTCAAATCAGTGATATTTCCTTGCTGCTAGAAGGGTGGCATGCTTTACACCTTTAAACTACCTTAAGTAATCATTTTCTAGGCAGAACAGAAAATCCATTTCTATTAGTTTCCAAAGACCTTGAAAGTATGTATGTAGGAAGACCACTTCCATAAATTCACCTTTTTAGAGTCACTGGCTAACACAGAATTTATGCAAGTGCAGGTCAGTCACATAATTTAGTATTTATATACTCCCCTTCAAGCTCCAGGGAGCTGGAGTAAAATGCTAAAAATAAAATACACATGTTGTAATACACACAAGATTTAGAGATGGAACTATTCTGACAGTTCAAAATAAAAGATCTGTGTGCATAAGATCTCTGTAGCTAGGCCTGTACCTAAATCACATATTGATTTAACTCACTGTAGACAAGTTATATAAGCTTTGGAATGATGTATGCTTGATCAATGTGTTTTAGAAATTAATCTCTGCCAGACTTACTCATTTAGGCAAGTGAAGAAGTCAGATAAATATCCCTACATTTTATTTTATAGGATAGTAAACCAATTTCTAATCAAATTTGTAAGTAAACAGCATTATTTGTTTCCAAGAAATACCAATATTAAAATACCTTTTTAAGAAAATCTGAAAACAGACTTCAAATATTAGTAAGTTTTATTTATGAAATACACAGATTATAAAATTGATACATGCGTACATAAACATGAGGATCAGAGATACAGAGGAGAGCAAAATACCCCTTTGAAATATCAAGGGATGGAGACTCCCGGCACCACACTGAACAAAGGGATTTGGAGTCTCAGACAGATGAAAGTTAGATGTGTTTGATATTTTACTTTGAGGTGCCAACAGTGATTCCACACTTGTGTGCAGGAGCGATGCCCCACTCCACTGCAAACACACTGACCCTAATGTGGGGAGAAATAAACGTTTACACCTCTACAGGCAGGCCCCTGGGTGCTTTAAAACAGAGCACATTCTCAGGTTAGAGATAGGGAAACTGAGGCATGGAAAGGCAAAATGACCCCCTGAAAGGCACAAGGCAAGCTGAGGTATAAATGCCAAGAGTGAAGGCTTTTATCTGGATAATAAATCTACTAGTGCAAACCTCCTTTCTGATCCACATTTTTGCTCAAATCCCACTGACCGTAGCAGTGGGAGCTCAAGGACAGATCCTGACCCGGCTTAGAGCTGGGTAGGTCATGAACAGTGAACACTCTCAGCTTTTCTGTCCTAGCTCAGCTTTGGGGCAATCCAACCATAAGGTGAAAAGCTGACTCACTGTCTCAGATCCTCTTGGTGGCCTCAGTAATAAGAATCCCCGTCTGACATTATTCACAGGTCATTCCTGGCAGCCTGAACACAAACTCTGCTCCTAGCAGAGAATGAACCTCGGCACAGACCCATGACCAAGCACACACTGACGCTCCCCAGGCTACCAGCACAGGGAAAATCAGGGGCAGCAGCTTGCTGAAGCCTCGGAGGACTCCCTGCAAGAGCAAATATTCAAACTAGGAGGGAAGGCACTTACCGTACAGAACTGCAATGAGCGACACGGGCATGACCAGGATACCCACCAGCATGTCTGCTACTGCCAGTGACATCAGGAAGAAGTTTGTGGCATTCTGCAACTTCTTCTCCAAGGACACAGCCATAATTACCAGTATGTTTCCCCCAATGGTCAGCAGGATGACAACCAAGATCAGGAGGGCTGGCCAATTCTTCTCCCTCACGGACATCCGAGAGGCTTCGCCCTTCTCAGAGGTGTTGAGAGGATCAGATGTAGGCAAACTCTGGTTCAGAGTCAAATTGCTGCTTAAGGACCAAGCCATCAGACCACCATGCAAACTAAAATCCAGTGTAACAGACACTGTTGTTAAGCTGAGTAATATTCCAGTGCTACTTAAAGTGCTCATTGTCTGGGGCTGGTTTCTCTGTCTCTTAACCGTGCCTCAGAGATGATCCCTTTTCCAAATTCCAGGTCCAAGGCAGATGCCGAACATCACAAAACCTGAGCCAGAAAATCATTTGAACTTCCATAGTGAAGTAGACCTTACAGAAGTTAGTGTGGAGCTCTTCTAGTTTCCTTAGGTATGGTAGATGACGACCATTGGCCACCAACCTCAAGAGAAAGGAGACTTTGCAACCTCCAGCTGGTTTCCAAGTTCACCATTCTGAAAAGCAAAGGAAAAGGATATTCTTCACTGAAACCACAGTATACACAGCACCTTCTTTACTCCCCATGCAACTGACATCCTTATTCTTCCCCTTGCTGCTGGCTAGGACATTCTCCAGACTGCAAGCAATTTATCTGAAAGGTACAGACTATGCCTAAAATCATGGGGGAGAGAGGCAGAGAATCACATCAGTGTGCTCTGGCTGGTTAAAAGCTGATTATCACTAATTAAATGTTTTGTGAAACCTGCAAAAGCAAGTCTGAAGAGCAAAATATGTTTCAATTGATATCCACTTCACAGATGCTCTGCTGCTGTGTAAAATAGTAATTGCACAAAATTCCAACCAATCCAGATAGCGCAGCCAAGCACAGGGTAATCCATCACCTTAAATGGAAGGGTTTGGATATATTTTATATATTCTGAGGTAAAATGAAGGTGTTGCAAAAACCCTCGTATCTTAATGATTAACTCTCCTACAATAACAAATATTGTAGCTTGGTTTCTATTGGGAAATGAATGGTGGATAAGATGCAACATCTATTAGGCAATATTGTATGATCCTTCTGGAACAAACGGACAACAAAGAGTAAAGAGAAAATAAAGGACAAACTTTCATAAAAGCTAAGCACTTATTTCTCCTTTTAACCTGTTCTTGTGCCACTGCTTCCTGCTGATCAAGAGCACACAGCCAGGGCAGTAAGCCTAATCCCAGCAGTCTGCTGCTCAGGACTACTGTCCCAGCACCCTCATCCCACACAGTGCGGAGACAGATTTCCTCACAGCATCTCACATGATTTCTGCCACTCCAAAAGTAATTGACAGTGATTATGACCCCTGACTGCCCATGTAACACAGGCAAGAGAACATCATGCTGCTGCTTCTGAAGTCCTTTAGCCTCATGCACTGAGCTAATTTGGTAAATTAAATGTACTATTGACTTCAGGCACATGCCTGCACCCACTAAAGCTAAGGGCATGTATTCCCAGTCCTGGTTAAATCATGTACTCAGCAATTGAATAATTTTGACTGCCAGTGCTGTACAACTGATGAAAAACAGCAGTTTTGCTTTGCACTTCCTCTGAATTAGAGTTAAGCTCTTAACAACCACACAGGGCTGAAAGCACAAAAGGAAAGCATTTAGTTGAACAGTGGTATGGAAGTGGACCAGCAAGCAGAATAAAATCAATAGCAAGTTACTTCTTCTGAGCATATCCTCAACTCTTTGTGCAGTCCACAGGAAAAGAGTTGTTCTATCACTGTTAAATAAATAAGAAAATAAAAGCCAGATTTTAGCTGTTGAATGCACTGTGGCACACATCTGACACAGCAATTGGCTATCCAGGTATCAAAAGCTAAATGTAATTCATAAGATTGCATTTGAATTCATTTAAATAGGAAGTGCTCAGAATCCTATAATAAAATGTTTAACATTCATGAAGCTAATGGGCTTTGTGCACAAAAGTATTTCTTAAATGAGCAGTTCATACAATGAACCCAGATTTGCTTCTGCATTGTAGTTAATTACTCCCAGAGGGTCTCTAAACCTCATATTTAGGAAGAAGTTTTGCACGATGGGCACAGAAAATAATTTTGCAGCTGCCCATGCAGATGAATGAACAAGTGGTCACTGGACCGTTTATTTTTTTCCAACTTAGCTGGTCTCAAAACCAAAAAAAAAGTCTCTAGAAAGTTTCTAAGTACTTCAGAATTTTTTTTCAAAATGTAGCTTTTAATTCAAAGTTGTGATAACAATTTTTTCCAAATCACCTTTCCACAATGAAGGAGACACTTGGCAGCCAAAGAATCATAGACAGGACATGACTTAACTCTAGATCATGAAAACAAACAAATAACCCCCAAACAAAACCACACCACACAAAACAACTCCAAAATAAGGCTCCTGAATTAAAAGTGTTTATTTTTATAACTGCTTAAGTCTGTGTACAGAAATGGCAAGCAGAGTCACTCTCTCTTGCATTTTGCATATTCAGTTTGAAATCTCATGTGGGAATTTGACTACGGGAATGCTCGACTGGGCTCCATCTTCAGAATTAACTGTTCTATTGCCTTGCTAATACTCTTGTTATTATTTTACACAGATCCTGTCTTGAAGTCATCAGTTTTCCTTTTCAGTGCATCCCTCAGTCTCCTCAAGGTAAATCTTTATGACTAATTCCTTCAGCTACAGTCTTCTAAGCACGCCACTGTACCAGAAAAATAATTCACAATTTATTAATGGATTTTACATTTATTTAATAACCATCTCCATAATTTTAAATTGAAACATGGGCCGATCACAGATTTTTTATTCCAATAGCTAACATCAAAGTACACATACCGAATTTTGTGGTCAATCATCAATTCCAGTTCAATCTAGTACTGACAGTCCTTAAAATTATAATTTAAACATTCAGCAAAACCAAGTTCTTTTCTATGCTGCTCCTGCTTTTTGATAAAGTAAAATAGCAATTTCTTTTGGCACATTCTTTGACTTCAGTCTTTAAGTCCAGCTTAAAATAAACTGAATGTAGAAAACCATTTTTGTCTATCAAGAAACACATGAATTATTTAAAGCAGAGGTTGGTATGCTGGAGTTTTTGGATATTTCAGAAGGGTAAGTTGGAGGGAAACAGAAGCTGCAGTGGTTAATAAGCCTGTACTGGTGGGGCACTGGGGGGGCTCACAAGCCTTTGGGAATATTTACCACCATTACACTTGCTGAAAGGAAAAAAACCCAAACCTTTCTTGGAATAAACACAATTATTTTTTCCCTTTGAATTAAATGCATTCATCTTTAGATGTTTTACCTTTCAAAGCTCAGAGCACTTTTTTCTGGAGAGAGACAGGTGCCTGCTGAGAACCTGAGATGTTCCCCGGCCCCCAGCCAGGATCCTGCCTCTCCTGGACACACTGCAGAGCTCCTGAGCTCTCGTGAATCACTGAGGAAACCTCTGGGACTCACACCCTGGATGTCAACAACGTGCATTTGAAATTGGGTAAGAAATCAAGGATTGTCAGTTTAGCCCAAAACAAAGAGCCTGAGTTTCAGGCAGACTGAGGATAATACATTAGTTCATGGTCAGTCTCGATGGAAAAAAATCCCCAGAAGTACTTAATTATCAAAAGTGATGACTTTCAGCAATTTCCACCCCACAAGAAAAACAAGAAACATCCAATGGCATAATGGGTACAAAGGCCATATGCAAGAGAGATTTTTCTCCTCCCAAACTATGGGCAGGATCCAGTTCTCCAAGTCACATTCACATCTCCCCAGTAACCAGATGAAAGCCAACAAACTGCTAAAGAACAAACATTTTTAACTAAAAAGTTGTTCCTTCAGCCTTGACTTTGATGGTAGACCTACATCAGGGAAAAAAATAAATCCGAAGTCAACTAAACTGAACTGCAAGTACTGCAATTTTTGACAGGAAAACAGTTGCAGATAGTTCACAACTATCTGAGCCAGATAGTCAGATGACATAAATTTTTATAGCTCCATGAACCCTTTTCAAAATGGCAAATAATTTAAAATCATATAATAGAATATGCAATTTATGCTCAAGAAGGCAGATTTAAGGCTTCAGTCTTCACTCTAAACCCTGCATTTCTTGCTATTTGCATCTTTTTTTTTTTTTTTTTTTTTAATCCATTGCCAATTTAATTTTCACTTTTTTGGAACAGAAGGTTGCTTTAAAATACAGATTTTCATGGCAAACTTGCAAAGGCCACTTTCATTTTGGTGATTCAATAAAGTAATATTTTTATATTAAGAGAGTTCTATATTTTGGGCAGTTGGAACTTATCTTTCTCCTTTTTGTAGCAGCACTAGGAAACATCCCTATTTCTGTACAGTTCTATTTTTAAACAGTGTGCAAGAATGCTGCAAGTCCAATGGAGATGACCAGGGGGATGTGGGAGGAAGCCCATTAAATACTGGGTTTAGTTCAGCCCAGACAAAAAGCTCTGAACAGGGATGTATTTGCTGCCTACATCTACCTGCTAGTACTTACAGAGGAAATAGGGAGACTCTTCCAAAAATTGGGCAGCAAAGCAAGAAGCACTTGTGGCAGTGATAGATCTAAGGAAATAACGTATGAAGTAAGAAAAGAAATAGATAAATCTCAGTGCAGGTGTCAGACAAGTGGGACACAGAGACTGTGTGATCTCTATCCTTGCAGAAGCTTGGAACACAGCTGGGATCTACCCCCAAACACCCCATCTAACCTGGAATTTCTTCCTTGAGCACCTTGATATTGGACTAGAGACCTTCAAAAAGCCCCTTTCAGATGGAATTATTCTATAGAATTGGATCAGAATTGTGCTTCTGAGCAAAGCTGTCCAGCATGGGGATGCTTTTGAGGTCCTATCCTTGGATAAACACCCTGTGCTTGTCCCTAGTGCTCAGGATGAGACCAGCACATCCTCTCCCCTTTGCTTTCCCCAAGGCCAGAAATAAAAATGATTTTATTTACAAGTGGGAGACCACAGCTGTGAGGACTCCAGTGTGCCTGGTGTGGGATCCAGGGCCCTGCAGCTGCAGCAGCTCCTGCCCCATCACACCAGAGAGAGGCACACACCAGGGCCAGCTCCTCACCTTCAAACACCTGCTGAGGTCACCTGTGTCTAAGCATCCTACAGTTCAAGCATTCTCTGAAAAGTGGCAATTTTGGAAAGCCACAACTCATTTGAGTCACTTGGCAGCACCAGGAAATCTCCTTGTCTTTTGAAAGCAATGCCTCCGCTGCCAACACAGAGGTAACATTTTCACAATCACTGCAGTGGGGAAAGAAAAGTCAAAACCCAATGGTTATTCTGTAGATACACACTGCAAAGTTAACTGAAATTGCAATCCAGAGAAGTGGTTATGCCTAATTTGTCTATTTTCTTGAGCTACTCTTGAACTTGGGAATACATTATTAGCACTTTGTTTAGAGATTTTCTTTCCAAGGAAGAATTTGATACTTCCTCTTCTGTTTTGCAAGACATTCTGGAATTTT